TTTTAAGTTAAGACAATGGCAAGTGAAATGGCAAAAAACGGGCGAGTGGAAAGAGGTAATCAATATCGGTAGAACAACAAAGAGGAATACTTGTGTGTTATGAAAAGACAAATGTTTGGGTGGTGAACATTCAGTAATTCCCACAAAAAGAGGAGCAAAGGTTTCGTTAAACCAAACCCCACCCAAAGCTTAAACTCTACATCTTCCTAATGAAAAGGAGAAGTGGAGAAGCAATGTGATGATTAAAAAGGGAAGAAATCTGGCAGGAAAAGCCATTGCCGTTTTAACATTTACTAAAACAAGCTTCTTTTACGTTTTGCATTGTTGCACATCTATATTTGTGGTATATATGTAAGAGTCTAGCTAGTGACCGGTAGAGAATATATTTGTGGTATATATATATATATGTAAGAGTCAAGACTATAGGCGTTTTTTTATCCTCAATAAATACTACGAAACATGAAAGGCTGCAACGCCATATAAATACAGAATACAAAGTGTTGTAACGGTAACAGGCATATTTCATGGGAGTTACGTTACCACTGTTTATTCCATTAATGTGTGAGTTTATATTACATTATTATTAGTAAAATAAGGTAAATCCCAAAAAAATGACAAAAAAGATAAATAGAATTGCTGGGCATTGGAAGGTGCCACATCATCTTTCCAATTCTCAGCTTTATACATATATATATATAGTATTATAATTTTATACAATTCTCAATGTTCTAAAATCAGTTCTACTCTCAAGCTTGAAAATACTTAGAAATGACAAAGCAAAAAATTAAGAAAAACTACATTAACAATTTTGCATATTTCTCAATATTCAAACGTCGTTTTTATTCTCAAGTGCACAATGGATTACATTGTTATTGGCATAAACAATACATTTCCTCTGCCAACTCATTTTATCCAAAGCATATTGAATTTAAAAATTCAGGTACGAGAAGTAAATTTCACCCGGTTTACCTTTGTATGCTTTCCCAACTCATATATGCTAAAATAAATCACCAAATCCACGAGCAAAATTAAGTGATGAAAAATTTCTATAGCAAAAGAGAAAACTCAAAAAGAAAACGAATACATGGAGACTTCTTTTCACTGTCAGAATTTATGTTTGACCGGAAATTCGCACCTGCGAAAAGGTATCTGGTTTGACTGAATACTTGTTTGGACAGAGATGTCGGCGAAGATTGTCGAAGAGGAGATCGAGAAATTGTTATGTGAACCAGTGTTTGTGATTCAAGTATGAAAATGTTTACAGAGACATTTTGAATTGAATGTTTATAAATGCGATTCATTTCCCAAGTTAAGATATGAAGCGCTACAACCTTTTGGGATCCGCCACTATAGCAACCGTTGCATCTCTTCTTGGATTTTAAAGTTGGAGAATCAAGGTTTTAACCGTGAAGAAAGAAGAAAATGGCAAAAAAAACTACAAAAAAGATAAATGGCATTTCGGGGCTAAGAATGATGCCACGTCACTTTTCTTTTCCCCTCCTTTATATTTATATATAGATACTTTCTCCTCCCCGTAAAAGTAGTAACTTTTTATTTGGTTGGTGATTACGCAAATTTAAAGTTAAATAAAAATATAAATTTGAGTTGCACAAGTTAGTTTATGACCCTTTGCGAGGAGATCCGCTACTTTATTCTATTCTCGATAGTTATGCTATATGACCGAATTTCCTAGCATTTGCATCAATAACCTGCATTTACAGATGATAGAACTATTACTTCTGTGGAGTCTTGCATTAATATAAATCTCTGCGCCATATAAGTTTGATCAATGTTTAGAGGCTTTAAAAATATTTTGATCAAGTTGAAACATCAGTATAAGAACCCGCGGAGCCGGGGGATGAGAATAAAATTCTGTACAAGTACGGACGTTTGTCTTTTCTCCTATTAAGCCTTATTATTATCTTATTTATTATGGACAGAACTAATTAAAAAAAAAATACTTCTTTCTTTTTGTAAATTATTATCACCTGAATTCGTGACTAATACTCCTTTCAGAATTTAATAAATTAAATTATTGGTGCAAAAAATATCTTTGTAGGATCTTTCCAGATCAAATTTCGAGGCCAACTTCATTGTTTTGGAATATAATCTTGAATAAACACCTATATATATAAGTATAGAGTGAATAAATGCCCTCATATTAGTTCGGGCTTTTACGTGGCAATTTTCATTGCTTGGCACTAGCTCTCTCTTCCTTACCCAACATTGAGGAGAGAACACAAAGAGAATTTTCAAAAAAAAAAAAAAAAAAAGGGACGTACGGAAGACGTTGAAAAAAGTAATGTAATAAAAACCAAAAGAAATGCCGTAAAAATCTATGGTTAGAGAGGTGTGCAGTGCTTATGCCTCAAATTGTGGTTTGTTGTGGGTAGCCAAAGGAAGGATGATGACGGAGGTGCAAGATGCCGGCCGGCCACCAGTACTTGTTTACGGAGATCCGCAGCGAGAAGCAGAAGCACCCATTACCTCGTTTGCATGTTCTTCATCATCAAGATCAAGATCAAGATCATGGTTTCGTCACATGATCATTTTCCTTCTTCTTGCGTCGTTCACATTTGTATCGGCTCAACCTGCAGTAGATGTGGACGACGACCCCACAGATAAAACAGATCATCTTCCAGATGCAAAGAGCTCTTCCGAGGCTCTCCTCAACTTCAAAAGTTCGCTATCTATATCTTCAGCTAAAGGACAGGAAGTACTTGGGTCTTGGGTTCCATCCGTAAGTCCGTGTAATGGGAACATTGAGAATTGGTCAGGAGTGATTTGCTTTGAAGGGGACGTATGGGGTTTGAGACTTGAGGACTTGGACTTGTCCGGGGTGATTGATATAGATTCCCTGCTTCCGTTGCATTTCCTACGGACCCTGAGCTTTATGAACAACAGCTTCAAGGGAGCAATGCCTGATTGGAATAAACTCGGTGCGCTCAAGTCGTTGTACTTGTCCAATAATAGCTTTTCCGGTCAGATCCCGGATGATGCTTTCAAGGGTATGACTTATCTCAAGAAATTGTATTTAGCCGACAACCAATTCACAGGCAACATTCCCACCTCCCTGGCTACCTCCTGCCCCAGGCTCTTCGAGTTGAGGCTAGAAAATAATAGATTCAGTGGCTCTATACCTGATTTTCCCCAGGACGTTCTCAAACTCCTCAACGTATCCAACAACCAACTCGAGGGACCAATCCCTCCCTCTCTTTCTTTAATGGATCCAACAACATTCTCAGGTATACGAACATGCTCCCCATGACCGCGCGTCATTAATTATTGCATGTTCTACACGTAGGTGGGAAATATTGTTACCACGTCAATGTTTTTATGAACAACCATGGACGGAGAGAGCGAGTGCCAAAAGGGGCAACTTCTTCATCTGGCAGATACATTCCCCTCGGCATTCCAATCAACATAGAAAGATATATTTAAAAAGAAAAAGAAAAGAGAGGACCATAAAGAGGTTGTGCCGATGGATTAATTTGGTGTGCATACTTAAGGTCTCTTAGTTAATAATAAGTATCTAGAAGATTCTTTGATTGATGTTGTCTTTCTTGTGGTGGCTCTTATAATTTATTCTAACTTGTATACTACTGGGAAGCAAGATCCAAGATATACCACAATAACTATATACAAGATGAATATTTTGATTGGGAAAAAGATGGACTATATATAGAAGAAGGAAGTATTGCTTTGATTAATATTCTTCCTAACCATCTGAAAATATATTCAAATAAGTATTAGTCTAACGATTGGTTTTGCCTATGCGCAACAATCTTAATTTGGAATTAGGCATATGCATGAAAAGATATAATAGCGCGATATCCTATCTTTGGTCTTTTTTCCCCTAATATAAATATATAATTGAACGTGTAATTTTATCATTTCCATTAGTCCGATCCATATTTTTTTTCCCGTTGTTGTTGTAATAAGTAATTTGACACAGAGAGATCGTAATTAACAGGGAACAAAGGTCTGTGTGGGAAGCCATTGGAATCTGCAGCTTGCAACTCCCCAAGTCCAGAAGCAAATACTCCCAACAGTCTCGACTCTACGGTCAGCGGCCAATCTGGTGATATAATTAGGAAGTCGCCCTCTCTTCTGAGTAGAGTGATGTTGATCGTTGCAGTTTGTTTGGTGGTCTTATGTCTCATGATTGTGCTAATTCTTATTATTTGCCGCCGTAGCCATAGCAGCAGCCAAAGAAATCCACAAGTAGGCCGGGCTGTTGATTACTCGAATATTGATGGGGATCAAAGTGCCTTTACATCATCATCGTCAGCTCCTGATGTGATAATGAGCGGCAACCCGCCAACTTACCCAAGACACGATAATAACCATTCAAATAGTACTATTAACAACAACAAGGCATCAGAGGCACCAGCAGCAGCAGCGGTAGTAGGTAAGTTGTCATTCGTTAGAGATGACAGGCCACGATTTGATCTACAGGATTTGCTAAGAGCATCAGCGGAGGTGCTTGGGAGTGGGAACCTGGGGTCCTCTTATAAGGCTCTACTTATGGATGGCCAGGCCGTGGTGGTGAAGAGGTTTAAGCAAATGAACCATGTCGCGAAAGAAGATTTCCACGAGCACATGAGGAGGTTAGGTAGACTAAGCCACCCCAACCTACTCCCCCTTGTGGCCTATTATTACAGAAAAGAAGAGAAGCTGCTTGTGTATGACTATGCCTCCAATGGTAGCTTGGCCAGTCACCTTCATGGTATGGAGTTAATTACTACATTCAATTTCTCTCTTTATCTCTCTCTCTATATATATATATGTTGTACATGCATGAATGAGTAAATATCCCCTAATTAGTTACACCTACGTACGTACTAGCTTGCTGCTTCACTAATCTAGCTGTATGATCTGTATAGGCAATCAATCTAGGCTGGAGTGGTCAAGCCGCTTGAAAATCATAAAAGGAGTTGCAAAGGCCTTGGCCTACCTTCACAATGAGCTGCCAAGCCTAGCACTTCCGCATGGTCACCTCAAGTCATCGAATGTGCTTTTGGACAAATGTTTTAATCCCGTGTTGATGGATTACACATTAGTGCCTCTGGTGAATCTTGCGCAAGTACAACATCTTCTAGTGGCTTACAAAGCGCCGGAGTACGCACAACAAGGCCGCGTCACAAGGAAGACTGATGTTTGGAGCCTTGGGATTCTAATACTAGAAACCCTGACAGGCAAGTTCCCCACAAACTACCTCGCTCTCAGCACTGGCTATGGTACCGAATTGGCTACTTGGGTCGACTCCATTATTAAAGATAATGAGTTAGCTTTTGATAAAGAGATGGACAGTACAGAGGATAGCCAAGAACAGATCCGAAAGCTCTTCAACATCGGAGTGGCTTGTTGTCAAGAAGATTTGGATACAAGGTGGGATCTGAAGGAAGCTGTTGAAAGTATACAAGGCTTAAATGAGAAGAACGACGCCGACGGCAACAGCGATCAAATTGATGTTGGAGTTTGACCTCGTCCAACTATATCAACTCCATTCCCTATATATTTAAAAATACATGATGTACTCATGGATCCCAGTGCATTACATATCATGTTTGTACACATTTTCATTGTATACTTCACTAAATTACTGATGCCCAAATAAACCTGCCAATATATGTGATGTTGGGCATATTTCGATATGTGTTGATGTTACTTTACCCATGTTTTAATCACTTTTTGATGCTATTTGATCTTTAAAATACCCAACATGGTTTAATTATTGGTTTTATAACTAATTGAGTTGTGTGTGATGATTTAGGGTGTTTGGAGTGCAAAAATATGAAGAAAAGGTGCTCTAGGTAGAGGAAGAGGGGTTGAATGCGTCGCATTCAATCTAGAAAAAAATCAAATTTCGTGCACCCTTAGCAGTGAAGTCGGCCTATAGCATCCGCCTTAGCATCCGCACCTGGGCAAAGCTGAGATGGAGGAATAAAGGGTGGATACGAAGCATCCACCCTAGCATGCGAAGCTGAGAAGTGGAGGACGAGGTGGATGCGACGCATCCACCCCAGCATCAATCCCTGAAGCTGAGTCGGATTAGGAATAGGAGAACTTTGGCCCACGACTTTTGTACGCAATATATAAGCCAAAAACGCCTCTTTTAGGGCATCTAACATATTGGGAAGGGGTAAAAAGCCACGACAAAGCTGGGGAACTACGGAATTCATCTAGAGTTCTTATTTTTCCTTCTTTTATTGATTATTATGCACTCTTGTGAATTATTTGATGATTGCATGAACATGAGTGGCTAAGAACCCTACTATTCTAGGGTCATGGGTATACATGAATGTTGACGTTTGAAGTTTAATTTGACAAAGTTGATTTTATCATATTGGGTTGTTTATTTAATTTTGTTTTTAATTAATTTGCTAAGTAGCTAACAGTGAATTACTATCTACGAATCTAGAGTTGAACTCAAAAGTGAGAATTCTAAATTGCATATAGAATTAAATAAAGCAAGTTCTTGAACCCGGACATCGGAGAACGGATTCGCAATTAGGATAGAAATATACCTAATTGTCTTGCTCGGTTGAAATACATGAAGTGTAAATGTATTCTTGTTAATATTAATTCCATAGACATATAGGCATTAAGTTAGCTTGAATAGGCGAGTAAGAACTTGACAGATTCTTATGAGTAATATCAACCCTGTCAATCAACAATCCAGATAAATCAATTAGTTATTTTAAGCTAAGAATGCAACATGATTGTTAGATAACCCGTGACCCTGGAATATTATCTCCTATTGATTGTTATTCGAAATCATTTAAGTGTTGTGGTTGATCTCTAGTATTTCATTACTTGATAGTTTTTAGTTGGTAAATTAGAAAATTATCTATTTTGTGAGAAATCGCTTGAATCGATAAGTTATTTGAGTTTGAGTTAGTCAAAAGTTAATCATAAGTCTTCGTGTGAACGATACTCTACTCACTACTATATTACTTGAGGACCACGTATACTTGCGTGAGTGTATTTGGTCGCAACAAATTTTTGGCGCCATTGCCGGGGACTTAGAAATTAGCTATTTTTCTAGATTAGACATTCTTTTTTATCTATTCATTTTTTTTTTGTTTAAGTTTAGTTAGTATTTGTTATTTATTTTAATATGGCATCTTGGAATGAAAATTATTCGAATGATGGTTATTCTTATTTTGATGATCCTTGTCCATATTGTGGAGGACCCCACTGGTGGAATAATTATCAGAATATTCTCGGGACCGATTTATGCGCACAATCTCAATCCTTTGAGTGGAACATTTGTAATATGTGTGGTGGTCAAGATGGCCATTGGGATGGTTGTCCTAATCTTGTTCATCCTTCTCTGAGCCCTTATTATGATCTTTCTAATGATGTTTCTGAGTTTAATAGGGGCAATGAAGTGCAGGATATGGAACCTGATGCATATATTAGGGATATTCTGAGGCAAGTAGCAGAGCAACAGGATGAACTCAAAAAAGATACGAAAAGAATGAGGGCAGCAATCACAAGAATGAAGGCCAATATGGAAGAATTGAATGAAGAAAGCGAGAACCAGCAAGAGAAAAATTTTGAAAAAGAGGAGATTTTGAGCCAGACTTGGCTGGTTGAACAGGCTGAAAAGTTAGAAATATATGAGGCTCAACGTGAGGAACTTATTGATGGGATGAGACACTTTATAGAGGGAAGATCTAAGCTGGGACAAGGGATCGATAAATTTGGCACTACTATTCACGACTTGCAAGATCAATTAAATGCAAAGGTTATTGCGTCTAACGCCCAATAAAATAGTAATGAGTTGTTAGAAGCTGAAAAGGAGCTTATACGCCAAATTGAGGACTCTGTTGATGATGCCCATGTTGAGAAAAGTACACTAGAGCCATGCGAGGTAGTAGATAATGTAATATTTGAAGACTCTAGTGTGTGCACATATGAGGATATAAATAGTAATACAATTCCAAAGTTAGGGCATGTTGGTCCTCATTCTAAATATTTTTCGACATTGTATATGGATGATGACATGAAAATCGAGTCATCTGAGTCTTTGGAGGAGTCAATGGAAGAGGAACATGATGCTTACATTCTTGGATTTGTCGTGCCAGAGAGAAAAAATTATATTTCTCATATAAAGGACGAGAAGTATAGAGTGAAATATTTGTTACTTGGCCAATTTATTTTTGTGTCCCCACCACTGGAGCATAGCCGCAGACTGGATGCCTTGTTAGGGGCTCAATTCATAAGTTCGAGGTGGAGGCAAAAAGTGGTTCACGTCGTGCCGCTACGTTAAATCAGGCGCTTGTTGGGAGGCAACCCAGCTTTACTGCTTTCTTTTATTTTTTTTTCTTTTTATTTTATTTTATTTTTATTATTTTGTAGTATTTATTTTTGTTTTGTAGGATTATGAGCATAGGAAGCAAAGCCATTAGAAGAGTGCAAAAGCGAGCTAGATGGTGAGGACTAAGTGTGGGGTGCCCACACAAAGGACGATGCCTGGGGGAAGTCTGAGTACCTCGTGAGCCGCTATTGCTTCGGCCTTTGGCCTACCAGGGAGTCTCGTTTACCCTCTTATTATTTATAATGTGCATTGAGGACATTGCAAAATTTTAAGTGTGGGGTGAGGAGATCGTTTGGATGAGTTTCTGTGCTATTTTAGCTTAGTTGTAGTACTCATTCTTAAGTGTAGTAGCTTTTGTGAAA